ATGCCAGGCAGCATAATTTTCTATGTAATTTTGGATCCCAAGGCCCTAATGCTCTTGTCTCCACTTAAACAGAAAGCTATACTAAGTAGCCAAATGAAATAAAAGAAGGAAGATACATACCAATCCTAGGAAAGAAGGTGCTACTGACCTTTGGAAGTAAATGCTGATCTAAGCAAAATATTGTCTGCCTGCTCAATCCCTCACTAATATGTCTTTGTCACAAAACCAAAGCAACACTGAGTTGGGATGATCTAACTATAGGATCATCAGACAGTTGCAACAGTAAAACACCAAAGGGCTATGAACAATGCCTCCTGCTTCTAAGGAACAACACAGGACACTGGTTACCTCTAGGGAGACCTGAACCAGAAGATGCACAGCCCCAGCCAGGGAAGGCCTGAGCTGACCAAACAGCTTTCTCAATTCAACTGGGAATCTGCCTTTTACTTTCTGCCATAATAAACATCCATTTTGATCACTTCCCTCCCCAAAGCCAGATAACTTCTATAATTCTAGCAGTATCAGTTCTGCCACTACAACACAACTAATCTCTTCAAAGCTACTTGTCATGAACAATGGTCTCTATCTTCTCAGTAAGGCTTTCAGTTTTAGCTGTCCACATTTCTCCCTTGGGAAATTTAGTAACTGAAGTCCTTGATCGGTTACTGGAAGAATGTCCCCCTTGGGATTTATGTATCCTAATCTCAAAGAGCCAACCTCTATAAGGCAGGAGTCAAGGGTCAGGGCTACTTTCTAGCATCACAGAGGCAATTAACATGTTATATGGCTCCTTACTACTTGTCCATATGTACAGCCTCTTGATGACAAGTCTCTTCTGCAGTTTAACCAAGCAATTTTTCTCTTTTTAGACATAAAAATGTGGTTGAAGAAAATTCAGAAAGCAGTGTTGTGATTGAAATAACCAGAAAATTTACTACCATGGTAGAAGACAAAGGTAATAAATTAAGAGAAAGCTTAGTTCAGAATCTAATTAGGAATAATAAGCCTTGAACCACAGACTAGACATTCTATTACGTGACAAAAAAAATAACACAAAGCATTTTGTTAGAGCTATCCCGTTTAAAAGAAAAAAACACAAGGCTGGTGCAGTGGCTTATGCCTGCAATCCCACCACTTTGGGAGGCCAAGGCAGGCAGATCACTTGAGGCCAAGAGTTCAAGACCAGCCTGGCTGACATGGTGAAAACTTGTCTATGCTAAAAATACAAATATAAGCCCAGCATGGCTGTGCATGCCTATAGTCCCAGCTACTCAGGAGGCTGAGGTATGAGAATAGCTTGAACCTGGGAGGCAGAATTTGCAATGAGCCGAGATCATGCCATTGCACTTAATCCTGGGCGACAGAGCAAGACTCTGTTGAAAGAAATGAAACAAAGGGAAAGAAAAATCGAAGATGGCCATTTAGAAACAGCTCAGGATTGCAGCTCCCAGTGAAAGCACAGAGGGTGAGTGGACACTGCATTTCCAGAAGGATTTATATTGCCCACAGCCCAGGAGATTCCCAGGCAGAGGAGCCCCACGGGTCGCCAGCATGGCTATTCTGGCCGGTGGGGCTGCTTTGCCGGCAGCCCAGCACAGTAGTTCTCCGTACAAAAAAACACTGATCCGGGTGACCTTTTAGCTGGAGATTGGAGCCCCAGGAAGGCACAGTCGCCCATTCATCTGATTAAAAAGGAGACTGAAAGAGGGAGCCAGACCAGGAGATTCCCAGGAAAAAAAAAGCCCCACAAATCTCAGCACCGCTGTTACAGAAGGCGCAGTGAGTCGCCACGGGAAATCACACAGATCATGGCGCCTTTTCAACAGGCGACTGGAACACCGGGGAGTGGGTCGACCGTTCCACTGAACAAAAGGCTCAGAGGCAGGGAGCCCAGTGATAAGGCTCGGCTGCTCCCACCACCACAAAAAAAAAAAAAAAAAAAAAAAAAAAAACGCAACCGGAAACGCTCTGGGTTCAGAGTTTCACAGCAAGCACAGTTGAACGCAGGAGGGTCCAGCTCTGGGGGAAGGGGCGTCTGCCATTACCGAGTCACTCCAGCACTATAGAGGTAGTCCACCACTGCTGAGGCAGCCTGCCTCCTTGCTGGGCAGGGCAGCCCTGAAAAAAAGGCAGCAGCACAATGGAAACTCATAAATAAAGCCCTAACTCCCTGGGACAGAGCACTTGGGGAAAAAAAGGGGTTTATGAGTTCTGCTGCAGCAGATCTAAACATACCTGCCTGGCAGCTCTGAATGAACAACGGAGCTCACAGCTCAGCACTTGAGCTCCTATAAAGGACAGATTGTCTCTTCAAGCAACTCCCTAACCCCTCTATATCCAAAGAGTCACCTCATAAAGGAGAGATCAGACTGACATTTGATGGGTATCCTTCTGGGACAAAGATAGCAGAAGAAGAAACTGTAGCAACCCTTACTGTTCTGCAGCTGCTGCAGGTGATCCCCAGGCAAGCGGGGCCTTGAGGGTACCTCAGCAGTCCCACAACAGAGGGCCACACTGTTAGAAGGAAAACTGAGAAACAGAAATAACTTCATCATCAACAACCTGGACATCCACTTAGACCCAATGTGAAAGTCGGCAACTACAAAGCCGACAGGTGGATAAATCCACAAAGATGGGAAGAAACCAGCGCAAAAAGGATGAAAACACCAAAAACCAAAACACCTCTCCTCCTACAAGGGAACACAACTCCTCACCAGCAAGGGAACAAGGTTGGATGGAGAACGAGTGTGATGAAATGACAGAATCAGACTTCAGGAGGTGGGTAGTAAGAAACTTCTGTGAACTTAAAGAACATGTTCTAACCAAATTCAAAGAAACTAAGAACCTTGAAAAAAGATTTGACGAAATGCTAACA